GAGGGAGGGAGAAAGAGAGAGAGAGAGAGAGAGAGAGAGAGAGAGAGAGAGAGAGAGAGAGAGAAAGAGAGAGAGAGAGAGAGAGAGGTAGCAAGAAGGTCACTAGAGGTCGTTCGCAGTTGGATAGAGAGGGAGGGACTGACTATGGAAATGACTAGCATATAAGGATGTAATAATAAGCAGTGTTTTTTCGATCAGTGGTCCGGTTTCGCTCTCCACGCAAAGGTGACAAGGAGAACCAGGTGCACATGGAAGGCTACCAAGTGTCGAACCAGTGCATGGCGCTCGTGGGGGACGACATCCTGGTTCCGACGAAGGACGCCCCCGAACTGGGATACATCCGCGAATCGACCAACGAACAATATGTCCCCGATGTCTTCTTCACGGTATGCGGGAACTGCTGTCTGTGTTCGGGTAGATGTCGTCATTCGGTTGTGTAGCGGTGGTGTTGAACGTGTGAAGATGCTATCTTTAAGATTCAATTTAGTTCAATTTGTGCTAATTAATGACTAAGTAAGTAATGACAATTAAATATATCAAATTAGAGGGTGGAGGAAACAGAACAGTAGTTAATAAGAATGACTATCATAACGAATTGAATGTTGAGAAAAATATGAGCCAGTTCTTTTCTGTTATGGGAAAAGTTTACTTCCTACAAATATAGCTCTGGATACTCTAGCTTTCGTTGCACTACGTAACAGTAACACGAACATATCTATACAATACATTTGCACATATATCAATAATTATGTAAATAGACGTGTTGAAAGATGATTGTATATAAAGATGTATAGATACACAGTATAATTGTATGGATATGTTCATGATAGTAACTATGGTAACTAAAGTTTACCCTGACTAGTGTAGGCATAGTAACAGTGCATGGCTGGCACCTGGTGATAGGGTGTTGAGGATGAATGGACGACATATATAGGTAACTAGTAGTCGGTGACTAGGAATATTAACAGGCCCAAAGGATTGATAATGCTTGTGCTGAATTTTCGAGTCGAAAATAACACCGGTAGCTATTATTACACAACAATTTGCTCTACCAGCCATTTTCATGCACACACCATACGAGACTGCTCGCCTGTTCATAAACGATCTAACACAAAGCTGTCATGTTCCTACACACATAACCCTGCAGTGTGAATCTGCGGTGCGAATATCTAACACGGAGCTGTCAGGTTTATGGATGCATCACCTGATATCACAATAGTGACAAATTTAGAACCGAAGTGGCCATCAGGAGACAGCTTGCACGGACTCGGATGCTGGTTCTGGAGACGACCCGCCAAGATGCTTTCCTCCGCACTTAGAAAGTGTGTTTGCTGCAACAAAATGATGAGATTCAATTAGTCTGTGCTAAACAATGGAGTAGTAAGGGACACTTAAAAGAAACAGGAGACTGAAACGACCCCATAGTAAGTCAGAGATGCTGAGGGGGCAGAAGAGAGAGAGCGAGAGAGAGAGAAAGAGAGAGAGAGAGAGAGAGAGAGAGAGAGAGAAGAGAGAGAGAGGAGGAGAGAGAGAGAGAGAGAGAGAGAGAGGGAGGGGAATTAACAGAGAGGGAGAGTGAGGGAGAGAAAAGAAAGGTGGAGAGAGATACAGTGGGAAACATGTATCACTCACTCGACTTAACACTACAGTCAAACTTGTATTAGTGGAAACCTCTACAGAATAAAAACCCTTCCCTTGAGTGGTAGTTATACACTGAAAACACCTCTAAACACTGAACACCTGTCTACAAAGAACACTTTTGCTTCATTGGCCTCCCACACAGGTTTTGCTGTATGTCAAAAACCTACCGCGACTCGTTGTATAAATTCATTTTGTACGGATTCGTAAGCTGACTCACCATATTCCTGAAATGCTTCACGGTGCCCCTGCGTGTGTCGTCGGCTACGAGATCAGAGAAGATGCAGCCAACCCTGACCAAACCAAGCTCCTTGGCCACCTGATTGACTGCCTCTTCCCGGTCGTCGTCCAATAGCTCAATGCTGCTATCGGTGCCAATCTGCAGCACAATTAGAAACGGATGACATCTAAAGAAACATCCAAGATTTAACTGTACACCCAGACCTCTACACCTACTACCTACACTATCTGAAACCACATAACATACAGCAGGCTCTAACAGCACCTACCAGAATTGCCTTACACGCCGTAATATTACCTCAATAAAGCTAAGGCTTAAAAAAAGAAAAAAAAAGAATTGAAAATAAAGCAAAACAAGTTAAAATAAAGTAAGTTAAGGCTTGCAAAGTGAAGCCGACCTGGGGCGGTTCGTAGATGGCAGCGACGGTTGCTTTGATTCCGAGCGGCACGTCCTTGTGGTGCTCGTATCGTCCGTACAGATAGCCGAAGCGCTGCTGGCCAGACTTGCGCCAGAAGTCAAGGAAGCATTCGACGACGTGGCCGTTCTCAAACGACGCGTTGTCGATGTGGCGATATGGCTGCAACAGCGGCACACTCTACGTTTAGAATCACGCGGTCAAGATGACACGGGGGTCAAAAATTAATACCTTTTCGCATTTCCAGGACAAATAAATTAACTGCCAGAAAAGTGAAGGCACATGTGTAGGTTGAGTGAATAATGCATTATCTCATTGCGGGTATATAGTTTGGACAGTGTTCCGACACACATTGTATATTAATATTTTTTAAACTGATTCTTGGTAAATACACATGTACACAAATACATGTATCGTGGAGATTATAGGATATCTATGCACAGGGACACACCTGTCGACTGTGTAAATACAAAATGTACAAAATGTGTAATAAAATGTGTAGATACACATACACACAAATACATGTATCGTGTATATTACAGGGTTTCTTATACATAAGAGGCACAGTGGCGCACCACCGTTGTCAAATTTAACATCGCCGTTGTGAAAATGTTCAAATGCAGTCTAAGACATTCACATTTTTTTAATTTTGCTAGGGGAAGACCCCCAGACCTCCATGCACCCCCACAGAACTCCCTCTCTCCCCCTGTATCCGCCTGCAGTATCCGCATGCGTGCCTACGACACACCTTTGAATACATCATGCTCGTTTTTTTTCCAAAACTGGCCATTACCTCCTTTGTCTAATTTTCCCTCAGAATAAACCCTGTATTATATAATATGTATGCAAAGATACACACCTGCCAGCTGAGGGTGACTGCGTTTGGCTGGCACTTGGTACAGATTCCGCCTGGCCAGGGCATGTGCTCTGTGCATCCGGGCTTGATCTTACAGCTAATGTTCTCCAGCATTGCAAACTTGCCCCTGTCGACACGACAGCGTGCATCAGACACGCGTTACTCACTCACACGGGCGCTGCTCAAGCTCAACGATGGTTCCATAACCGCATGTAAACAGTGCGTTTAACAAGAACACATTTTGCATTCAGATGGAGAGTCATTCCTGAACATGAGGTATGAAGCGTGGTGCCTCTGTGATGCACCCAAGACTCTAGCAATGAGGCCCAATAGGCCAAATTAAATAATTCACTGCTTCTCATGGGGTCAGCATTATGGTTAGTGCTAGACTTACTGTGTTATTGGATTCTGAACGTTACCATTAGCTCAATGGTGGGCAATGTATTCAACTTTCTGGCCTGCGGTACGCTAGCCATATCATTATCGGGAAAATCAGGCAACATTTAGTCATCATTGCATATCTCGCAGTGACTTGCCATAGCATCACTCTCAGCGCACACACTTACTTATCTACACCGCACGTGAGCTTGCGCACGTATGAGTGAAAGGACATGTGCTTGATGTTCTGCTCCCGTAGATGGCCCTCATCCCACGGATCCAGCGGCGTGCAGTGAATGCACTTCTCTCTCTTCCTGTGCTGGCAGCTGTACAGAGATGCAGATATATGGTGTAGCGTTAAACTATGGCTCTGCTCACACTGTACAGAGATAGTAGAGGGTAGATATATGCGCGCTACGAGTTAAACCACAACCTCTACTCACCTTCTATGTGAAGATTTACAGCTGTATTGTATAGGGACTAAACCACACCTCTACTCACAGTCTCACACGTGTAGTAGGATTTAGTGTGTATCGTATAGGACTAAACAACACATCTAACCACACTGTAGTCAGATTTACACGTGTATCGTATAGGACTAACCACACCTCTTACTCAGTCTCACACTGTAGTGAGATTTACCGTGTATCGTATTAGGACTAAACCACACCTGCTACTCACACTGTAGTGAGATTTACGTGTATCGTATAGGACTAAACCACACCTCTACTCACACTGTAGTGAGATTTACGTGTATCGTATAGGACTAAACCACACCTCAAACCACACCGTAGTGAGATTTACGTGTATCGTATAAGACTAAACCACACCTCTACTCACAGTCTCACACTGTAGTGAGATTTACATGTATCGTATAGGACTAAACCACAGCTATACTCACACTGTAGTGATGATTTACTCGTGTAATCGTATAGGACTAATACCACACCTCTACTCACAGTCTCACACTGTAGTGAGATTTACATGTGATCGTATAGGGACTAAACCACACCTCTACTCACACTGTAGTGAGATTTACGTGTATCGTACAGGACTAAACCACACTTCTAACCACACTGTAGAAAGATCCATATTTATGCTATAGGTCTAAATCATGCTCTGCCTGCGCTGTACAGAGATAAAAGTTGTGAGGGCATAGGATTGAACCACGCTTCTTCTCATACTGTACAGAGATGTGGGCAAACAGTGTAAGGTTTAACAATGCCATTACTTACATGGCAGAAGTTATTCCGGTGAAACCTGACATCAGACTGGCGATATTTCTACGCACGACGGGATTGTTACTTAGCGTGACTGTTATTTTGGGTGCAGTTACGACATGGAGCCATCAGCACCACCAAATAGATGGCATCACTAATTAGCAAATGGGATGAACCCCAGAAACACTCAACCGAGGAATACGCCACATAACTAGATAACACACAACCATGCAGATTAGCAGATAGCCTGCCCCTAACCATTCACAGGAGAAGAAGGCACATCCATTTTACACATAACTATGCGCTTCCATTATTGCCTAATGGCATCGAATAATGGTTTGTCAAATTTACATGAGATAACATAGTAGATCTGCAACCCACAGAGCTGGTTCGGACCTCAAATTCACACATAGGTGCTATAGCTTTAAACTATGACTGATATTTCGTCAGACATTTGCATTTGGTAGAGAGTCATTAGTATGGTGCTCACTATTTAGGGTCCGGCCCCCGATCAACCTTGCCATCTTGTTTATTGAGAAACACATCAATCTCATCTTCGATGACAGGCATGCCCTTGTCGCCCCCTGGTGGACGTGGCGAGTCAAGCACTACGAGAGATAGCAAGTCTCCATGTCTGCAACATATTGTTTGCAAATTCAGCAACACAGAGAGGAACCAAAAGAGATAGAGAGAGAGAGCGAGAGAGAGAGAGAGAGAGAGAGAAAATAGAGAGAAAAGAGAGTGAGAGAGAGAGAGAGAAATAGAGACAGAGAGAGTCATAGGGAGATAGAGAGATAGGGGAGAAAGAGAGAGACAGAGAGAAAGAAACAGATAGAAAGAGGGGAAAGGGAGGGATGTAGGAATGGAGGGAGACGGAAAGAGAGAAAGGTAGGGATGGAAGGAGGGACAGAGAGAAGATATATAGAGAGAAAATACATATTTCCACATACAAACACCCTAACACATTCAATCAATCACTCTTGAAAACTAATTATATTGGTCATACTTCAGCTTATACTTAAAGGTGCTGATTGGCTTTGCTGTCTGCTTAATTTCTTTGGTCTTCTCTCTGTCTGTGTACAATCTATACTGTGAGCTTGCCAAGTTAAATGCTGCGCAGACCTGAAAATATACAATCACAGTCAGAAATGAATCAGTGCGATGTCGTAAAAAATGATATTGTACTTCTCAGACAGATTTAAGGGTTCATGCAACGTTTACCCAATGGCTTTTTGCTCTGAAGGGTAATGTACGCTATCTCTACATATTTGGACCTGCAGTAAGTGCAAATCTCTATCGTTACTTACATATATAAAGCAGCTTCAACCTGCCGATTGAAGAAGTAACAAAATTGGCTAATACCTTCTCCAAGAACTTGTCTGTGGACTCAGATTTCGTTGTCTGTATTCGTTTTGTGCCTTCACATGACTGAACACGAATTATCTGTAAGTGTAAACATTGTCAATGCCAGTATCTATAGTTAAGGTTAGATATAATAATTAATGTAGCCCTGGTCGCATAGGTATGATATCATACTTAAGAGCAAGCTAGATGGTGTGAAACATGTGAATAATATTATATATATATATATATATATAATAGTACAATGATGGACTGATAGTGCATAAAGATACAAAATAAAGCAGTCCATTAGTAAATGAGGGTAGTGTGTTAGATCTTGCACACAACCTATGTATTAAACTACATCATTTGTTGACCTCAGATCAACTTAATTTCCTGCAGAGATGGCAGGGATTTAATGTTACCGTACAGTGAAATAGTGGGATAAAAATGGATTAACTTGTCATCTTTACCCAATAACCTCACACCTATGCACATATTGCAGAGAGTTTTCCATCATCATGCCCGAGCAGTGCTCGAAATAAGCGTTGTCCGGTTGTCCGAGACAACCAGAATTTGCGCCGGACAACCTAACCAGTCTGAGACATTGTCCGGTGGACAACCAAGAAACCCTATCCCTATCCCTAAACCTAACCCTAACACTAACTTTAAACCGAATCGGCTATCTTATATACTCGTGTTATAGTACCCAATTAATCTATGGTGTATAACCTTTTGCTTTCAATATTTTGCATCTGAACTGACAATCAATCCCAACCAACTGGTGTAGGCTAGCTGGCACAATAATGTTCAGTTTCATACTTCAAATCCAAGCGTTTTCTAGCTCATCAAGAAATCGTGAATTACATCGTGAATAATATAAAAATATGGGACCAGCTACTATTTCCAACACTGGTATATGTCAGGTTTTCTGATTATGAGAGGTGAACTCGATTTGAAACCAGCAAACCAGCAAGTTTCCAAAATTTTCTGGGGGAGGACCCCCATACCCCCCCCCCGCTTTTTTTTAACACCCCTCCTTGGAATCCTAGACCCGCCACTGAACAATTACATATCTTGGGAGCAGAGAACAATCAACAAAAATGGCGCCTTTTCGCATGGCACCCCCAAAAAAAATTGCAGAGCTGAGAGGTAGAGGAGCCGTTGGGTGTGGAGAGGGAGGCGGAGGAGCCAGTAAAATATTAAGTCATCCACTCTTTTGTGCAGTTCGCTGTTTTTGGCCCCCCTTGTTAAAAATCTTGGCTACGCCACTGTTTTTGGGTGTTTTCTGATCATATTATTATGTGATTGAAAATAGGAGATTTGGGGATATTTTTTGGGACAACCAGAAATTGTTGCGGACAACCCGGACAACCACATTTTTTTTCTTATTTCGAGCAGTGCCGAGGACATGATTTTAGGGGGATCCGATCAACGCTGCTGGCCATACGTCATACGAAGCGACAGCCAAAAATCTCTCTATAATTTACGCATAGGTGTGAAGTTTGTGCTTAAAAATACCAAGGTAATACATTTTACCCATCTACTTTACAATGAAACTGCTTCCATTTCTGCAGGAAATGCGGCATAGGTGGAATGTGGAGATGGCATAGTTTCTTAGGTATGCATTGTGCCGCATATAACACACTAACCGAAAATGGGACACCAAAGATTTGGACCAGTCACCGAGTCAGTTTGAGTCATAGGCTTGGCATTTGGTTTAGTCTTACTCTTAGTTTGTACTGTAAAGATTAGGTGTAGTCATAACGCATTGATGTTATAAACACATAGGTTAGTGCTTTCCGTGCCGTTAGAGAATGATTATGAAGTAAACTATACGAAACGTTCCTGTGGAGACTAAAAATATTTACAGGAATGTTACGAAAACGTTTGGGCTGTTTTATGAATGACATGTCATTGTCAGCATATTTATTAGTTACGGTATTTATACAACTCACAATCTTGTCTCCCATATTCTCTCCTCTTATTAGTGGAAGGTACTGCTCCACTGTGCTTTTCCGCTATTGTGAAACTGATGTTTCGCTGTCAAATGTGCTATTTTTTTGTACCGCTGACTCATCCGCTGATTGCTATGGGCGCTGCCATCTTGCTCATGACAAAAACAACGGAACACAGCACCTGGTAAACATCCGGTGTATCGACTGATTGTTGGATTTTGGTGCTGTTTGCTATTTCCAACATTGGATAATATTACGGGCTTGATTAAATAGAATGTAATAATAAAAACAGCAATGCTAAACAAGTAAGATTACACGTAAATTAATTCAATTACGATGGCGATAGTGAAAACTGAAAGCGAGAAACAAGAGGCACTATATCTCAATGGACCGGTTTCGTCTGCTATTTTGCATATATTTTATTCTATATATTCCTAATGTGCCGGTGAACCTCAAGCATTCGAATTTGAAAGGATTCGCACGTTTAGACACAAATAAGCAAGCGATTATTACACTATCCTTATTATTATATTGCGATTATCATTATACGATTATTTACACTATGCGATGCAGACAATTGTATTTTAATTATTACATTGTGTCACTATGTATGTATTCTGCACGCGTCAAAATACCGTGTATAGTACTAAATCTGCGACTGTAGAGCACGGTACGAATCACATGGTTACATATTTTTTATTTTCGCCAATTTTCACTCACTCACTCACTCACGGCACTCAACATCACGCACGAGCACTGCCAACTCACAGATCACTCCACATCACATTCAACCTCACGTCACTCACGTCACTCACCTTCCACGAGTCACCGGGTGAGGCACTCCACGTCACTTACTCACTGCAACTCACTCACTCTCTCACTCATTCACTCACTCACATCATTCAACTCAACTTCACTCATTCACTCACGTCACTCACTCACATCACATCACTTCACTGTACTCACTTACTCACTCACTCACTCACTCACTCACTCATTCACGTCAGCGTGCAACATCACTAACAGTAAGCTGTTGGAAAAAATCTCTATGACGATAGATTTTAACTTTCTTAAAATGTACCATATGTCTGTGCGCATGCATACTATATGCTAAACAAAATTATATATTCAAAAAAGAGAAGACCTAATCAGGAGTTGATTTGTCTGAAAAATCTCGATCCCATGGCTTTCTTTTAATCATAAGACAGAGTACAAACTTCTCAACAACCTGGTCCCGGAATAAACTTATTTACACCTTTCTCAGAAATTATGTATGGGCAGTGAGCGTGTAGTCGGGAGTTGTCGGGAGGGGGGATGTCGATTCCAATACCTCACGTTATTAGGTATAATGCAGCAAATTTTGCAAACATCCCTGTAACGTGCGATAGATTTTATGATCAGATGTATCCGTTCGCATGCCCACTATCTTCTAAAATAAATTATATTTCGTTGAAATTATATATTTAACATGGGAAAGACATATACAGATATAGTTTTCCGTGAACAATCTGAATCGACTTAGCTCTTGTAGACAATAAAACGGAACCCAATCTGTATCGCAATATCTCGATTTCCCGCATCACCGAATGAAATTATGCAGACATTTCTTTGCCGATGGTCGGCGCTAGTGTCGCAATCAAAAAGCAATGTATGAAGCTAAACGAAATATATACATATAAACTATTGTAGAAATTATAGACCTGTGGTATGTACATACAGTTAAGTAGTTTGATATGAAAAATATCGATTGCAATGACCAACGTTATTAATTATACGGCAGCTAATCTTATAATCCACCTTAAAACGTATAATAGTTTATAGGACCAGACGCGTCTATGCGCGTGCCAACTACCTGTTAAAAGAATTTTTTTTGCTGTCATTACATGTGTAAAATAGGAGAACATATGCAGGAGTAGTTTTACGTGAAAACCTAGATCCCACGGCTTTCTTAAAATAATAAGCGGGAGTCCAGTATTTTCATCATCTCAGTTCCCCGCAACGCGGGATGAAACTATGTACAAATTTCTTTACCGATAGTTGGCGCTAGCGTCGCGCAAGAAGCTGTGTATGATGCAAAACAAATTACGTGACATGTACGAGGCCAGATCGCCGGACGTCTGTTACATTACCGGTGCTTACTGATTTCATGAAAGCACGGAATTTTATGCATTGCAGGCTATGACGTACGTTCTCGTATGCCTAGTATCGGGCGGAAGGTATAGCTAGTGTTTTGTTGAAATTGACTTTTTACACAGGAGCGTATATACTCGTGAGCAGTCTGATATCGTAAATGTTGATTGAATGATGTTGACGATGCCTGACTTTAATAATTGCAAAGGGCTTCCTGTAGAGTATCAGTGACAGATTTATTCTGAACACAGTCTCTCTATTGTATAATCATATCAGCAGTGATGCATTTTTAGTAGACATGCATGAATAACAATTTGAATAAGTAGAAAACAATGAAGTTTCTACAAACACGATATGAATGTGTCTACAAAGCCTAGATGGAATGTTTCATTGCCTTTGATTTGCTGTAAGAGCAGCTTTAATAAAAAGGCACAAGGGAGATCGTCATACAATAGATAGATATGAAATGAACAGGATGCGCACCTGAGACCATATACAGAAAATTTATATTCTACCATAATCTACTTTTGTGTAATAATTTATTTGCACTCACTCTCGTGGGACATGTAATTGATTTTCCAAACTCCATTCATCACGGAGTTACACTGTTGCAGCCGATATGTGATTCTTGCGTGCCGGCTGAACCGTGTAATTTCAACGAGAGGTGAATTACGACCCGAGGCCGCCATATTGCGTCGGACCTGCCACGACCACCGCGTTGACTGTTATTTATAACCTCTGTTTATGTTCGGGTTAGCCGTAGACATAGCCAGGCAATTTCTCGCGCCAGTACCGATTACGCGTGACAGCCCGAGAAGTAGATTACTGTAAATGTAGATCATAATGCATAGTTTATCTTTCGCTGGTCGAGGTGACGCGCATGACGTTGATGGCATCTTCATCTGAGGTCTTTATATATATATATATATATATATATATATATATATACCTATTATATACGAGTATATTCGGTTAAATGTGAGTGATTCATCACAGGATGAGTGGTGCAGTCGGTCACGGTTAGTTCACCGCGTGAGAGAACGAGGTTTGCCGGATATAACAGCGAGAGACAAAAACAAATTAGCGACATCACGAAGTTTGTATATTGCCGTGTTTCGGTATCGTGTGCACGGGTGTGGCGGGGCTGGGGGGAGGGGTTATATTGAGAGAGGAGAGGCTGTGAGTGCAGCACGGTCTAGAAGCGTCGCCATGTAAGACTTTTTAGACTGATGAATAAAGTCGCGCTGATTCTTTCCTATAGTTGACGGTCAACGACTTGATGTAGCGGCGATTGCATACACGAGTACGCAGGCACGCGCGCTCCCACGCACGCACGCACGCATGCACGCACGCACGCACGCACGCACGCACACACGCACGCGCGCTTGCTTGCACACACACTCTCTATAAAGCACAACAAGGTCATTTTTCCTTCGACGCGAAGACCACTTGTAAAATTCGCGAAAGAAAATTTGTTCAATCCGCCTATCTGTCTGGTTTACATCGAGCGTTGACATCGTTCGCTGTACCGCCGTGTCATACGAGCAGACGCCAGTGACAGACGCTGCCGACAGAGGCCGAGCGCGTCTGCCCATTGTGCACGCGGTGGACGATAATCTCATGATGAGTTTGTAATCGCAACGACATACCCACGCGCTAGGATGCCATTAAGATGCGCGTGTATTGTGTGTGTGTGTGTGTGTGTGTGTGTGTGTGTGTGTGCGCGCGTGCGTGCGTGCGTGCGCGTGCGTGCGTGCGCGTGTGTGTGCGTGCGTTCGTGCGTGCGTGTGCGTGTGCGCGTGCGTGCGTATGTAAATAGAACACTGACCTAACGCTATCGCTATCACGATCACTAGCGCTATTGCTATTAGTCTGCTATAGTGTATATCTGTACAGTATTAGCCTGCTATAGTGTGTATGAAGAGGTTTGTTGCGCTATAGAGTGTGTCGGAGAATGGAAACTATATGGAAAGCCGTCTACCTGCCGCTCATCGGCCTAGGTGGGTCGATCATGCTCGTCAATCCTTTACATGCATCATTACGCTGCTTTCCCCGATGTACGAAGATTTCGATGGGACGGAAAAAAAAAGTTTAAACTTCGTTATCGAGCCGTAAGGAAAGCTCTTTTCTCCCAGCCCCATTTTCTCTTCCCGCCCTCTCGCTCTCTTTCTCGCGTTCTCTCTCGCGCGCACTCTCTCTCCACTTCCCTCTCGCCTCTCTCACTCTCCCTCCCACTTCTCTCCCTATTCTTCTCTATTCGTTATCTGCTTTGCGCACGCGCCCTCTCTTTCTGGATCTGTCTTTCTCAGCGTCTCTCTATCTATCTCGCGCTCTCTCTATCTCCTTCCAAGCACGCTCTATCCTTCTCTATCTCTCAGTCTCCCATCATTGACCTCGTCGTAGCGTGAGAAAGCACGTCTGAGAAATTTTTCGGAAGCTCACCGATGTAATGTGACGTAAAAAACTTCCGCACCCGTGCGTCTGCTATTTAGACACCCTCGCGGCTACAGTAACTGCATGCACGAAGAGATCAACGCACAATGTCACCTTTGTCCTCCCCTCTCTCTCTCTCTCTCTCTCTCTCTCTCTCTCTCTCTCTCTCTCTCTCTCTCTCTCTCTCTCTCTCTCTCTCTCTCTCTCTCTCTCT